ACTCTTTCTTCATAAACTTAATACATGTAGATTATGCAGACCTTCAGTCTTTGGCTTCAGTGAGTTTAAATACAAAATGTGAAGTGGTCCTGAGACAGAATGGCTTGAGGTTGGGCTTAAGGGCTTCATTCACTAGAGTGAATTTATACCCCACCCTTCACTTGGAGGCTCAGAGCGGCTTACAGACTCCTTTCCCTTCCCCTCCCCACAACAGCCACTGGTGGACCTCCTGATGGCACTGGTATTTCTGGCCACTGTGTGACACAGAGTGTTGGACTGGATGGGCCTTTGGCCTGCTCCAACATTGGCGTCTCTTATGTTCTTATGTTCTTAGTGTTACAAGTGCCAGAGAAGCGTCTAAAAGTTTACCTTAACTCATATTCTCTGGTACTACTTAGAACTAGTTTTTGTCTAAATAAGGTGTCCTTGGGTTCTGCTCTTTCCTCTGTGTTGTATTGTTTATTTGGGGTTTTTTGTATTCATTCTTCTACTTTCAAATCTTTATAATTTTTTTCAAAAAGTAATGGTTCAATAAGGACCTGGAGTTTATAAGTTTTGAATTTTGATAGTAACAGGGTAAAAGTCAAGAAGTATTTAGGCAGACCACATAAATTTCTGGGTTTTTTCCTGATATGGAATATACATTGCAGCAGTATATATTTTTGTCTAGGAATAGAAATAGGAATAGCAAAGTTGCCTATCATGCTCACCACATGTATGTAGAAGAGGAGAAATACCAAAAACAATATATTGTGAAGAACTCTGAAATAAGAGGTTGGTGCAGTTTTGGAGCGAATCTGATATTGACCACAAAGTAGAATGGCTGGACAAAGAGCCATTCTAATCTCTAATCTGGGAGAACCGGGTTTGATTCTCCACTTGCACCTGCTGATGTGACCTTGGGTCAGTCACAAGCTCTGGCACAGCTGTCCTTGAAAAAGAGCAGTTTGTGTCAGAGTTCTCTCAGCCCCACCCACCTCACAGGGTATCTGTTGTGGGGAGGGGAAGGGAAAGGAGTTTGTAAGTCGCTCTGAGACTCCAAGTGAAGGGCGGGGTATAAACCCAATCTCTTCTTCTTCTTCTCCTCAATTACTTGTTTATTGTAAAAACAAAGGAAACATATTGTAATAGTGAAGTCAGGATATCTTTGGATACTTAAATCTGGTGACTGGAGCTATGAATGGGCAAGACAGATCTTTCTGCAAACCTGAAAAGGGCCTAAGGTTTGCAGAAAAAGTGAAATAAAAAAACCACACTGGTTGGCTTAGAAAACTCAAAAATGATAAAAGAAGTGCCTGTAGCTTTAAGCAGTGGATTCCCTTAGTGGCTGTTGCTAGGCGACCACAGTATTCTAGGCTTCAGTTTCTGTAAGTTAAAAGGTAGGGGGGGCAGGGTCCTTTCCAGTCCTATTTTGGCCTTTGAGGGAGAGCTCATGGTACCCAGGCCTTTCTAGGGTGGCCAGCATCACGTTGGAAAATTCCTGGAGACTTTGGGGTAGAGTCTGACTAGGGCAGGGTTAGAGGAGGCCTTAGCCAAATATGATGCCATAGAGTTCAACCTCCAAAGCAGTGATTTTCTCCAGGGGGACAGATCTCTGTTGACTGGAGTACAGTTGTAATTCTGGGATATTTCTAGGTCCCACCTGTAGCTTGACAACCCTAGGCCTGGAAGCAACCTCTGGGTGACTTGATACCACCCAGCTTGCATGACTGAACTGGGCCTGGTGGCTTGCTGCTGTTCAGTAGCAGCTACCCTATGAAAGCCAGTGTGGTGTAGTGGTTAGAGCTTCAGAGTAGGTTCGAATCTCCATCTAGCTGTGCTAGCTCACTGGGTGATTTTGGACGGTCCCATGCTTTCCACCTAGCCTACATCACAGGGTTGTTGTGTGGATAAAAAGGAGAAGAAACTATTGTAAGTTGCTTTGGTTCCCACTGTGGAGAAAGGTAGGGTATAAATGAAGTAAATATCCTGGCAGATAAAAGGTAAATTGGTGAATGGATAAGAAGGAGAAAATGAGGCAGGAAGAGGATATGGGGATTGCCAAGAGGAAGGAAAGAGGTTAGGAAATTTCTAGAATTTTTTTTTAGGAGGGGGAGCCGGGGAGGGTGGAGTTTGAAGAGAGGAGAGACCTCAGAGGGGTATGATGTCATAGACTGCACCCGCCAAAGCATCCATTTCCTCCCAGGGAACTAAGGTGGTCAACCTTAAGGTGGGGACTGGAGATCACCTGGAATTACAGCTGCTCTACCAGATGACAGAGATTAGTTCCCCTAGATAAAATGGCTGCTTTGGAGGGTGGACTTGATGACATTGTACAGTGCTGAGGTCTCTCCCCAAATCCTGCCTTTCCCAGGTTCCACCCCCAAAATCTCCAGGTATTTTCCGACCCAGAGCTGGCAAGCCTAAGGGGAACTGATCTCTGTAGTTGGGAGATCTGTTGTGATTCCAGGAGATCTCCAGCCCCACCTGGAGGTTGGCAACCCTAGGAGGAGAGATAGGCGACCGAAAAGGGGAGAGTCTATAGGGGCTTTCAGGGAAGGTAAAGAGGAAATAGTGGGAGAGGGGGAAGTGAGATGCCTCCTGCAAGTCCTTGTGGGTTCCCCACTATCATTTAAAAGCATTAAAAGTTCTGATTTTGCATGAATCTCTGTTGCCTTTGTTATGAAATATCAAACAGTGTTTCTTAAATATGCTTCCCTAATTTCAGTGCATAGTTGTCAACAATTTATATACTTTAAGGTGTTCTGTGATTTGTGTTACTGTGAAAGATGTTTCTGTAAAGCTGTCAGGCAGCAAGATTGTATTCAGGTTCGTGGTGGTGTTGCTCTAGTGGTCAATTTGCATTAGATTAGTAATGGCAAGGAAGTTTAGCACCTCTTAAATAATTTTTCCCTTGAATCAAAACTTCACTACAGCTGATTAACATTTCCCAGGTTTTGTTAGCAAACATCTTGAGAAGAATTAGCTTCTGTGTGGCCTTAGTTATCATTAGTTCCGACAGTATGTAGATTAACATATTATGATGTTTGATTCAGTTTTCCCACATTCCTTAGACTCCACTGCATGCCCTCTTGCCTTACAGTTATATTCTATCTATATTAATGGAACTAGTGCCCTGAGGCATGAGCCATCACTCACTGAAGTCAATCTAGGTATGGGCACAGACTGGTCTGCGGACTTAATTTCGTGACAGACCAGGGCCTGGTTCATGGTCCATTTGCCTGGTCTGTGCATTTGCAGTTTTG